ACAATAACATCAATAACATTTCACACAGATATAAGTATCCTTCCATACATCCATAATAACCATATTTATACACTAACTCCTCATTCATAATTAGCAATTCACTCAACATATATCAATTATAAATTAAGATTCATGGAATGAATGTTATATTCACGTGGTACCAATCTCATCCTCATCATCAAGAATATAGAATAACTTTATGAGTCATGGAATGAGACCATCAAATATTATAGAGACCATCCATCAATAATGATCCCCCAAATCACCTCAACCAGGGGATGTCTATTAGAGGTCGAAATATTACGATTAGTCATGGTAGTCTTCCATTCTCATTAGAGGTTTTCTCATCATAACACCTTTGGGACATAGGTATATGACCTATGATATTCCACCTACATAGATTCACACTTTCTCGCAAACAAAACATGTATGCATTGACTCAATACACACATCACAACAAATACAATATGCATAACTCATATCCTTGAGTGTTAGTCTGCAACACTAAACTTATTTATCTTATATCATCATAGTATTCATCATAATATACATTATCACATCCCAACAAGTCATCCTCATAACATTCACCACAACATACATAATTTTACATCCCAATAATTTCATCACATCAATTCAATAATATCCCAATACACAATCAATCACACATGCAACTCACTCATGACATATATGCTCACAATAAACATACAAAATTCATTTTACTTTATAAATAAGGATTTTCACATAATTCATAGAAACTCATAAATTTATAATCCCAACACTCAATACACAATCAATCATGCATATGACTCACTCATAACATCTTATGCTCATAAGAAACAAACAAAATTCATATTTATCTGAAAACAAGGATTTTCACAAAATTCATAGACACTCATAGATTTATAATCACAACACTCGATACATAATCAATCATACACACACGACTCGCTCATAACATCTTATGCTCATAAAAAATGTACAAAATTCATATTATTTTATAAATAAGGGTTTTCATAAAATTCACAAGTACTTAAATAATAAGATAACTCATAAATTATCACTTTTTATTTTCAATTTTTATGACTTTGTATGATCTAAATGCTATATCTAAAGGTATACTTTTGATATAAATTCGATATTAATTTTATTAGAAAATTAAGATAATTATTTACTTTCATGTTAACCTAAATGATTTATTTTACCATTTATTATGTTTAAAAATTACAAAGGCACAATATTTAAATCTAAATCTGTCAATTTGACATTTACTTACTAATTTGATCATAACTTGAATTTTGTACCTTTTTTTTTTTAGTGATTATAGTGTCATTGAAAAGCTAACAACTAAGATTACAAATTTCAAACTAATCTCAATAAACAACTATTCATTTTGGTCAATGAAAATGTGTCAATTTTTTTTAATAATGAATGACTACATATCTAATAAGAGATGTCAAATAAGAGACCAGCTTTTAATAGATGAATACAATCACAATCACCACATTGTAAAAATTTACAATTTTATAATTTATTGTTAAGTGAAAATATTAAAAATATAATTATGAATATATTTTAATTGAATAATAATAATTTATAATTATTAATAAAAGAGAAATTATTTTGGTATTCAATTTTTTTTTTACTTTTTTTTTTTTTGCTTCTACAAACATCTAACATTATAAAGGTTATTATACATTCTTATTTTTTTCTTACATTTCAAAATAGCAGTGACATTTTCCTTAGAAAATAATAATAAAGATTGATTTTCTTATTTTTATTGTTTTATCTGAACTGAGCTGGCAAAGCTTAAAACGAGAAAGAAAAAAACAATAAAGTATAGACGTGTCAAGTGCAAAAGCACAAGTGGCAAGGGCGGATAGATGAATGCGAAAAAAAACGAATGCATTCCCTCTTTCACAACATCATTCATGGCTTGTCATGCACTCTGTGCTGGGTAGAGGTTGACATCCACCAAAATTACAATATCTTTTAAATTCTCATATATTAATTATATTTATTTAATAACTCAAAATTATTGAATATTTTTTCTTTATTAAACATAAAGAGAATCATTATAACAAGATTTAACATTATTTGTTATTATACTGGTTTTGTTAAAAAATTTAAAACATAATACTCAAACAATTAAATCAAACATTATAAACATTATATAATTATATTTATAATATATCTAACAATTAAACCAAATTTAAAAACAATTTTAATTTTAATATATTACACATGTAAAATTTATTACATTAATTATAGGTGTAAAATTTATTATATTAATCTTACTATTTAATTATATAGATGGGCACTTATTAAAAAAATAAAAAAAAAATATTTATAGAGAAGTTAGTTATATATTTACATTTTCATTTAATCACAATTCACATGTTTCGTGATTGTCCCTTGGTTCAACATGCACTTTGACTTAGTTACTTATTCTTACTCTAGTAATTCAGTTTTTTAACATGTTCAAAATGAAGTTGTTTTCAACGACAACTGGTCATCATGGTATACTCATAGTTAGATTATGTTTTCATTTGCATACGACTTTAGAAGCATTCACAATTTTGGATTGAGTGAAACCTACCATTCTTGCTCAATCGATACTTTCTTTCGACAAAGCCATCAAGGTTAATACAAATAATAATGATTCATTCAGTAATTTCCAATAATGGTTCAGATTAAGTTGGTTTTTGGTGGCACAGTTTGTGACTTGTTGAGAAATTGGTTGTTATGTGGTTATCTGGACAATTATAGGTTTGCAACAAATTTCACAACCTAGTTTTATGCAATATATTATGGACTCCAAGTCTCCAATCAACAAAAATAGTAGCTAGAGGTTATATGCATGTTATGTGTAAAACTAATTCATTTATCTCACTTGAACTCGTTTAGCATGAAGTTTAGGTCCACCATCCACATGCTAGCATTATTGTTACTATACATTCCTTCATGTAATTTTCTTAGGACTTTTTCTTTCAATACACCTTGAGACAAGGACTGGTTGGCTGAAGAGGGAGCTAACTCTTGTTATTGCCTTTTATTTTTAGATGTGTGTCCATCATTTTCTATTGTAGCAAGTGCTATAGACACTTTGTTCATTAGACTTTAGTCTTTTCTATGTAATTGTTTTGGTTACATTTTCGTAGTAATAAAAAAAATCATAATTTACTATATATATTTAGTAAATTTATTAATTTTTATAACAGTTATCATAAAAATCATAATTTATAATAATGTTGTGCCTACAAACTTGAAAAATCTATGACAATTTTTTTAAAAGAACTTAATGTAATAAATATATTAATTATAATATATTTTTTTATATTGAAAGAAATTTAAATAAAGTCTTAATAATAAAAATTGTTTGATATATGTATAAAAAAAGTTCAATGCGAAAAGTATTTTGATACAATTATTTTGAAGTAAAAATTTTAAATTTTAGACTAAATTATACTTTTAGTTGTTTATCTTATTTTTTTAGATTTATTTTAGTCCTTTATTTATGAATATGTTTATTTTGGTCATTTATCTCTTATATTTAAATCAATCCAACCATTTTGAAATAATAATCATTTTTAATTTTATGATGTGATTTTGAATTAATTGTTGACTGATTCAATACTTGAAACTTGTAATATCATTTTTATCTATATAAAAACTATGAAATACAATTAACGTTTGAATCCAAACATGTTATAAACATAGTGAAAATTGTGTGAAAAATATATCTCATAAACAACTAGAATATAATACGAAATTAGATTTTTTAAAATTTTCTATTTTCACCATGTTTGATTTGAACTTCAATTGTGTTTAATAATTTTCATATAAGTGAATCAATAAAAAAAGATTCAAAATGACTACGTTGACTTAAATTTAATAAATAAATGACCAAAATAAACATTTTAAAAGATAAATGACCAAAATAAATCTAAAAACAAGATGAAAGATTAAAGTATAATTTAATCTAAATTTTATAATATATATTATGATTGTATATACATGTATGTATAATGTGTTGTGATTTAGAGTTTTATAATTACTTTTTAATGGAGTTATTAATTATTTAATTTATCTTATTCATTGATTATTAAAAAGTTATATATAATATAAAATATATATTATTATGTAAATTGGATCTTAAGTAGAGTCTTGATCACTTTATTATATATATGACTCTAATTTATAATGGGTTAATAATTTTTATATTAATAATATAATAAATAGAGCATGTTTTAATATTTTGCTTCTATTTAAAATGTTCATAATAATATTAATATTGGTTGTATAAATGGTAAAGGTTTTTATTTTTGACCTTAATAAAATCATATAGAATTTAAATTTTTACTTTAGATATAAATAAGTTATATTGAAAGGAAGTATATATCATTATATCTTGTATATATTTATAATGTTTAAAGTGAATTGATAATTATTTTTATTGATAAATATTTTATATGAATAATAAAATTATAAATAAAAAAAATTCAACATTAAAATTATGATTTTTATAAAATTTAGATATATTTTTAGTCCATTAATTTAAGGTATATTTTTTCCCTTGAATTTAAAATGAAATGATAATAAAATCAAATAATATTCCAAAGGATAAAAATTAAAAATCGACTTAGTGGTGGAATCCTATTATGAAAGAATTCAATTTAGAATAAACCACATGTTTTTCTAAGAATTTCGGGAGAATGGTACACTAGAGAAATTTTCGTCACTGGCACGTTTCTAAGAATAGGAGAAAGGTTGTTGTCGTGGCAGCTGGCAATGTCGATAATCTCTCGATCTTCGATGCGAGATCTATTGTCCCACCTTTCACTGCGAAACCTCAACACTACCCAATCCCATGACCTCACGTGATTATGAACGGTGTGATTCAACGGTGCAGAGATACGTTCCCGTGAGGAAGCATCAGGGTAAAAAGCTTTACGCTGCGTAACATGATACTTATCAACACTTACCGTGTCACTGCCACGAAAGTGCCAATGATTGGGAAATGCTGCTTTGACATTTGTGTTAAACATAAAAGCTTAGAACGAGTACAGATACTCGTCTATAGCCTCTGTATTCTGAAGGCAAACAAACACAGATCTATGTTATATTATATGAACTTCTTTCACTAAATTGGATTCCAAAGAGCCAATTGAGGCTCTGAGATGCACCATACATCACTCCTACTTGTGCTTTTCTGCGGACCGATAATTAATTGCTCACTCGGATATACATTTTATCATCATAATTTCCATTTAATTGCATTGCCTAATATCCTCGGACAAGGTAATAACGCAAGCTTTTAATGCTTAAATTCCTCACTTTTTCAAATTCGAAACATTCTAAACTGTAACATGAACAACTTAATCATTATTACATCATAAATTATTGTTACTATGTTTTCTTTGCAAACATTTTCTAGTCCTGACTTTGGTGTTTTTTGAAAAAATTCAGGTGAAAGGTGTAATGGCAGCGACGGAGAAGACTGTGACGGCAACGGATGCGGAGGCTGTGTGGTCGGTGAAGTGCTACTGCTGCGGGTTAACGGAGGAGTGCACTCCGCGTTACATTAACGGCGTTCGGGAGAGGTACGAGGGTCGTTGGATTTGTGGGCTTTGTGCTGAGGCAGTGAAGGAAGAGGGTTTGAAGTTAAAAGATGATGATGTTAGCACCGATGAAGCATTGAAGCGCCACATGAAGTTCAGATCTTCTACTTCCAGTCCTCCCAACAAACCCACCCTTGACTTGATTCTCGCAGTGAAGCACCTTCTATTTCGCTCTTTGGATTCTCCTAGGAAGGATTCTTTCACCTTTTCGTCACTTTCTACATCCCGCACATGTTTTTCACCTGGATCCTCAAAGGGAGAGCCACAATCTGAGAATAGAGAGGTAATTACTAGTGAGTGAGTGAGTGGTAACTGCTGATTCAATGGCAATGGCAAATTGGCATTGCCTTCTTTTAGTTATGTTTAATGTGTATTTCTAAGTGACCTTGTTTCTTTCTATTTTGTGACGTTTACGACTGAATGGATGATTTGGCAGGAATTTTCCTCCTTTGACTTCAGTTTAAATGTCACTTCTCTGTTTGATAATTCATTACTAGCAATGGAGTTTCCCTTCTTTGTCTATGTGGTTTACCCAATTCAGACTATGTATTACATTGAAACAAATGTTTAAACAAGTTGCTCAATCATGTGCATGTGTTTGTATACAATGCTGGGATTTCAATGAGGGACATTCGCTTTTTTGTTATAAGGCTTTTAAACTTTTAAATGAATTTGCAATGATTTTTATTATATGCTGAAGGTCGAGCACTGACAATTGTCAATGACAGCTACCCCTTTCATCCTCAGTGATCTATGGTATCCTATGTTACGCCACGCTGCTAACTAGCCTCAAAACAAATTAGATCCTTGTATAGTTCCGGAGGTATTACAATACAAATGCAAAGGACTCTTCAAACAAAACAAAATAATGTTGCTTTTTTATTTATAATTTTTGTTCCCAAATCAATGTGGTGGTGCATTTCTACTTGGTTGCGTTGGAGGAGCATAAGTGTTATCGAAAGATGCAACTATCTAACTATCCACCCAATTGCTAGATTTGACGAGGCATGAGAGATATCTAGAGTGTGTGCCAGTGCACCTTCACTCGTATGGTCTAACCCATGGGAAATGTAGTTTTTTATTAGGGGATGGAAGATGGGGTCCTTGTGCACAATGAGAACATTTACTTTATAGGCCCACCACCTGCACAAGATGGAAAGTGCTAAACCTTGCTGATAAGGATAATCAAACCGTGCAATCTTATCTGTAGTCTGCTACATACCATTCTTCTATTTTGGTTTATACATACGGTAGAGTTCAGAAATTGAATGAGGGTGATTCCAAATATATCTTTTGTTGTGTTTTTGAAATTGTCATGCCCCTGGCCCTTGTCAGTCCTTTGCTGCATCAATAATGTTTTGCTAGTGAGAATATGCACCCACCAATAATGTCTTTGCCTCACAAATTTCACCCTTGTTTTAATAAATTACGTACCCTTTTCTTAGTTATCAAAAGAAAACAAAAAAAGCTTTGATATGATATTAGAAGATAAGCTCTTTAGCATCTCGGTTGAAAGGGAATATCATCCGAATTAAAATAATTTCTGATGTGATGTCCATGCATATTCCACATTCTATTTCTCACTCGAGGATCGCGCATGAAGTCATGCTTGTGGACAAGGTGCATTGTTGATTATTCCGTTTGAGACGGAATATATGACATGACGGGTATTACACGATTGCTCTTTCGTGCTGCTTGTCTAGTTGTTCACGGCCTTATGTATTTGTCTGCTTAGTCTCTGTTTATTTAATTAGCTACATTTGACCTTTCTAAAGATATAATTTGTCTCTTTAATCAGAGTTATATTTAATTTATTGATTAAAAAAAATTGTATGTAATCATTTATAGAAATATTTAAATTCATTCGTTTGATTTTTCTAATTATAATTTTTTTACTCTTCAATGAGCCTCAATATATTTTACAAATTTTGATTAAAAATTACAATAATAATAATAATAAAATTTAAATTTAAAATCTTATTTATACTATTTCAACTTCTATCATTAAATTGATTTGAACTATTCAGAAATTTCAATTCTTTGAACGGATTATAAAAACAATCTTTGGTTCCAAATTTAACTATATTAAATTTTTGTGGCCTCTTCCTAAAAATGATTATAATGAATTACTTTACATTAATTCACTTTAAGTGAGTTAATTTTAAAAAAAATCCTCATCTATTTTCGTAGTAATTTTATCCGGTTAAAATTATCTTCATTCTCTTAGTCAGATATTTACTGATTTTTACCGTCTGTTTAAAGTATTTTGGTCAATAAGATTTTAGGTGTCATTTTCTTCTTACATTTTTCTAGATTTTCTTTAGACCTTCATTTTTCTAATTAAAAATTAACATTATTTATTTGAAAAGCAAAATGAATAATTTTCTTCTTTTTAACATTAAAAAGTTTTATTTTAATTATCCGATTATTTAAATTTAATGATAAGTTATTAAGTGAAAAAGGTCTAACATGATACTTAATAGTTAAACATTACATAAAATAATTTTTGGGTGTATCATTTTTCAATATATAAGTTTGAGTTTAACTATGACAAATTATTATTGTATTTTTCACAATATATAATTTTACATTGATACTTTTTTTACGAGTTTAATTGCATGTTTAGTAACATGTAAATCACTAAATCTTAAGGTATTAACTTTTCATTTTGTAGATTTTTTATGTTTTATTCATACATAACGATGCCAATGAATTTATATCTTAAAATCTTATGCAAATTATTTAATCTCTCACTGTTACTGACTTACTCTAGTAAATAATTATATATTTTCACTTCAATCGTGCATATACATATAATTAATATTTTTATTAAAAATATATTAAAGTAGTTATAAAATAATATACTCAACTTAGAGAAAATAACTAGAATCAGTCTCTAAGTTGAGTATATTATTTTATAACTACTTTAATATATTTTTAATCTTATGTTATATATATATATATATATACTAAACTTAAGGAGTAACCAAACTTCAAATCCAAAGCTGTAATATCACACTTGCACGTTGCACCAAAACATTGAATAAAAAATATTTGGCACATATTTTTGGATTTTTTCCCTTTCGGAAGGTAATTTTTTTTTATAAAAAAATCTTTAAATTTCCATTTAATAATTAACACCAAGATTTATAAATATAGATGCAGCTAAAAGTAGACCCTCATAACTTTCCGTCTTTAGAAAAAAAAACAATAAAATAACTTTTTTTAGAGTTAAAAAAAAAAATCCGTCTTTTAAGATTCAGTTTGCCGGATTTATTGATTTTCATATTATATATTTTTATATAGAGAAGGGTTCAAACAACACTGGTATAACTTTTATTAAGTGTTATATCGTTTAATAATTTTATATTAAATGTGAATTTTGAAAATTCAACCGTTAGATTGAAAGTTCATATCTCTTAGATCATATATGTCAAATTTTATTAAAATTAAGCAATAACTTGAAGGTAATTAAAGTGTTTATAAAATTATTGAGCAGTATAACACTTAGTAAAAATTACACCAGTGTCGTTTGAACCCTCCTCTTTTATATATATATATATATATATATATATATATAT